ACCTCTTCGTCACGAGAATTTTGTTAAAACTCTTCTTCTCCCTAGGGATTCACTAAAAATTCACATTAAATTTATTTGTAAAATTTACTTCTTTATTTCTTTATTAAATTCTACATTATGGATATTGATAAGAGATAATTTACGGAGCTCAGTCTGTTTTATAAAAATTCGCCAAACTTTATTAATTATTTAATTTATAGCAAATCGTATTGCGTAATTACACGTTGCGCAAACAAATAACAGAATGCTTATAAATGTTATTCGAAATGTATATCGCGCAGTGATACGTGAATAAATAATGCTTTAATTAAAGAACTAATTTAATGGTCGACCTACTGGTCTTCATGCGTGACAATGCGAATTAGAAAGGGGTTGCAAACGTTTACGCGTGAGAGTACTCGCGTGCCCCGACGATCAAGTATTATTAAACCATACCGAAGTCTGTAATTAACGATCCTTACACACAGAGACGCGAGCCATGCTAATCGCGATTATACGGTAACAGGAGAGCACAACATTTGTAATTCATCATCCGTTGTGCACGCACGGAGTTATAAATTTTTCTCGACAAGTACACGACGGATCCCTTTTTATGCGAGAATCAAAGCTAACGGAATGATATCCGACGTATATTTGAGTGAGAATAAGAATAACGTGACTGTCGGGCGTTTAATAAAAGAACGACGTTTTCCATTGGAAATAAGAAAAGCGTTTCTCCGATAATTTCCTGTAATTTAATCAGGCCAGGTGTCAAATCTTGGCGTTGCCAAATACCAGTCTCCCCTTATTAACCGGTGCCACGGCCAAATGTCCCCCGTACATTTGCGAGGTGAACAGCACAGTAATACTGGAAATCCAAGTTGACAATTGATTCGCGCACGTATATGCAATATCACGTCGCGAGTGCGCATTCAGGGAATGGGATAGATCCTGTTTGCCCGCGTGTCAACGATACCTATTATTGTCGATCCTTATTTGCATGGTCAATAACGCGAGGAAATCTGCTACCACCCCCTTACGCCCCAGGAATCGCGGAGAGGATTTGCAATTGTATTCGATGCCAAGGGGACCACCACCGTCGTACCGAGGGGGCTTTTCAGGGGTGCACCGATAAATCAGGGGCTCACGACACGGGTTGTGTATCGCCGTCCCAGTTCGCAACAGCGCACGAATCTACCTTGAGAGAGAGAAAGAGAGAGAGAGAGAGAGAGAGAGAGAGAGAGGACGCGTC